CAAACATGTGTATTATAGTGGTGCAAGTTTCTTTATATGCCTACAACATTTCATCTAAATTAATAATATAATTGAACAAACTGTTAAAAATGCAATATTATCAATGTTAAAAGCTCTCGTTTTATACATCAATCATTTTGTTAATTGGTACAGACAAAGCGAAGTGAAACCAACACTAATTTCTCTTCCTATAAAAATATCTCTAAACTTTGAATATTAGTGTCAAATTTCTTTATCTATAATTAAAATATTCCATTGCCCTAATTCCGTGGTTATATTTCTATTCATTGAATCAGTTTTCTTAAATTTTCAAAATGGAGGCTAATTCTGCACTTCTGAAACAATATTTTGAAACATTCGGAAATTAGTGTCATGTCTGTAAACATATGATTAAAACTGCTCTAATTTCACGGCTAAAATCTGTTTTTTGAATCAAATCGTAAGTTATATGGGCGGCATTGTGGGAAAATTCCCTGCAGTCTATTTTCATAGCAATCATCTCCTTGAATACACTGCTTGAAAACTGGGGATTAGAGGGTTAAAACAAAGGGAATCAGTGAACACATTGTTAACCCTCTCGAGTCCAACTATAGGTAAAGTGAGAAGGTTAAAATTCGCCATGAAAGACTCTAACTCGTGGCACTCATGGGAATAAATACAAGCACAAACAAATCCCCAGTAATTGAATACAAATCGGTGGAAAGGTGTCAAACGTCTTCAAGGCAAGATATAGAAATAATCTGTCGGTTTGAAAACGTTTTAGGGTCCGTGGATGTTAAAAATCAGCGTATTGTTTGTACTAGGGATGAAAACAAGGGGATTACAGACGAAAAGTTGTGAAAATATTTGTTAAAATCGTGTGATCGGTTGTAAAACATCCATAAAAACACTGACCGAGATTGCAAGTGTGTAATAACATTGATGTTTAGTGTAAATTCGGATGTTAAGTGTTGTTATATCGGCGAGAAATCTGATTTACAACCTCAATCCTTTAATAACAAGTAATATGACCGTATCGTATCTTGTTTCATCGCACAGTAAAATTTATTTCTTGTAACCGTCGCGATATCAAATTTATTAAAGAAACTAGGCCAGTTGCATCAACTCATCTCTATTCTGTATTTATTCTGCAGTTTGATAAATAAAATAAATGAAATGAAATTTTACGCCCTGCACTTTTCTGGGCAAATAAAGACGAGCAACGACATGCAGTGTGTAACAAGGACATTAGCCTACTGTTTTGTCAACCATCAAACAGGTTGTGTCTGCGTTTTCACTACGGCGCTGGCACTATGGTTAGATAGTCCAACGTACGAAACAAATTCTTATTTTTAACATAATGCTTTTTATAATCGTTTTATTCCAGCGAATCTATTATAGATGATTTGCTATTACCTACGTTGTCCATTAACCATTATATAACCATATAACAGACAAATGGTCTGAAGAATATATAATATTGCTGAGTGATGTTCTCAGGTGGCACAGTGTCAAATCGTTTCTACAAGGCCATTCTGATCAGAAACTAATTCAATGATTTAGACAGAGAAATATCACATAAATTGGTTTATCTAATAAATGACGCTTCCTCTAATATTGTCACTGTCGACATTTCAATACATTATTTAGTTTCCTTGGATCATTCTCAAATAAACCGACAACTCTACCAATAGATTAGATTATCTGTACTTTAATTTCGTATTAAATACACGGCAATGTATGAAGACACTATCTTTCCTCCAAAATAGGAGTTTGTTTTCATTTTTAAACCAATAAGAAGTTTGTTGACGGAAGACGAGATTTGGCTGCTAAACCAGAGTCCCCAGTCTCGAGTGAGTCTAAATATAGCCCGAGTCGTATTTACTAAAATATTGACTTCTGTTTATTTTAAGTGTTGACATTGGTAAGATACCTGGACCGGGCACAGCTCACCTCGTCTACATCAGATCTTTCACTGTTTTAGTTTCGTGACCAAATCCACTCTAAGTTGATTGCCTAAATATTAAAGATTCCACGGACGTGTAGGAAGACAAACCGTACAGGTTGTCGCAGTGTTGAGGTCGTTGGAGGACATTTGAAACTTTTCTTAAATCTTTTTAACAAAATAACGTAGGGTACATTTAAACAGACCCGTAGCTACAGAGGGCGGGGGTGCTCCCCTTGAACAAATTCTTACAACCGACCAATTCCATTACTGCAACTTAACACCATACACGATTGCCCCTCAATCAAGTCCTGCACTCAAATGATGCAAATGTGCAAATGTGCAATGGCTTTTACCTATCCATATAAATCCATTGCACCTAAATTGCCAGAATTTGATAGCAAATATTCTCATCAGTTTTAACTGTAGTCTAAAAACCGGTGTAAGGAAAATTCACCTGTATGTTTGCCCTCTAATCTTGTGTCGCACTTGCCAAGTCTCGCGCTCTCGTGCTATAGATGAGGACAATATTAATGTTAAGTAAATGATGTTATGAATAAATTAGCATCTAATTAAGATAACCTTTGTATTATAGTCGGGGTTTATACAGGTTATTTACATGACCATTAAGACTTTGAACACAGTATATTAAACATTAAAGGTTACACAGGTCTGAGGTTGTGAAAAACACCAGGTGAGGGGAGCGAGCAGGGCAACAAATTGTCCATTGTTTCACTATGTAAAATGATAAAGAATTTAAAAGTGTGTGGGGGGGACTTGCTGAGCCTGGTTAGCCTCTTTTCTGGATATTTTTAAAACTTACAGAATATGCTCCTAACTCGAAACGTAAATATACTTAAAATCTGTAACTGTGTACAAGTTGAAACAAAACTTGTAAATTTTGATATAAAAACCTAACTAATTACTATGGATTGTCTGTGATAGGCGATTATAGCTAATCCCTTGATCTGTTTGCTGAGGACGAGATTCAATCCTTCACGCACTAGTGCCAATCAATGATACTCTCATTTGATTGGTTAATGTATAATAATAGGCGTGGTTTAACACATAATGCTTGTAAAAAGGTGTAAAGAGTGACAGTAAAACGCTCGTCTCATGAACCATGGAGCGTAAAATACGTTAAGAGGAGAGATTAAACCTTTACAAATTCAGTTTCAACAAATATAAATTTTAAACTGCCTTGAAATATCGTTGTGGAGAGGACCAACTTGACTTGGGAGGGAGACTTGAATAATGATATAGTGAATTGATGTACCTTATAACGTTACTTGTGAGTTGTGACACTGAAAAGGCGTTTGATATTGTATGACATTAGAAATAAATATTGGAAACAGGAACTTTTGAAGCTGTATTCTTGGATCTTTCGGAGTAACCAACAGTGCTGAAGTTTTATTAAAGCTGTATTTCGTGGAATCTTTTTGAACAACTTGTGCTGAATACCACATTGAATAAGCCTTCAAACCGTACAACTGAAGATTAGCTGTATATGCGAAGAGAGACAAATTTTTTTTAAAAAACAGGAGTGTAATTGAAACGTCGTGATTCACTTGACATTCAAAATTATCACCAACTGCAGAGGAGTACAGTCGAAACGTTGACATTTTAAGTGTGAATCTGTGTACGTGAGGTGTAAAACAGCAGTGTGTTACCTGTACTGTTAAATTACAGGTAGATTCAATTACTTCACTGCACCGTTTGTTTATTCTAATTACCTCAAACCATCGTTTTATACTCTTACAACATTTAAAACATCATTTTACTCTGAACTTTAAAAATAATTAACTGTCAACTCGACCTTCTCAGTGTAAATGAAACTTTGAAAAAAAAATCTGCAGCGAGAGCCTGAAGTGAAATTAGAAGACATCCGACAGTGTAAAAACGAAAAGATATATAGCGTACATTTATACAAATTATTTCTAGAATTTTTACCCGAGGAAAAGTGAAAAGTGTGTTTTTACCCTAGGATATTTGAATATTCGAAAATTATTGAAAAATTCTGTCGTGAAAAGAAGACTGCTAACTGATGTTATCAGTGTTTGAGTGTAAATTATTCATCAGGCGCCCGGAGAGGTCCTAACCCTGAGGAATCATAAAAAAAACGGAATAATAAAAGGGGCTAGTGTTAACTCATCACGTCTAGTACTTCATCCCTTATTTCGCGAACTTTTGTTAAAATTAAATTTAACATTTTTAACCTTTTGAATCATTTCCCCTTATTTGTGAAGCGTAACGATTTTTAATAATTGCTCAAGTCAGATAACATCATTCGTGTGTTTGTATTTATTTCGGTCATAGCTGAAATATTCATCTTTTTTCGATAAAGATCTCAATGTTTTGGCTTAAGGATATTTTTTGTGTTCTGAATCATTAGAAGACCATTACGCAGAGAATTCTTGTGAAGAAGAACGGTGACTATAAATTTTGAAAATTTAATTTTCGACTGTTTATATCGTTTTAACGAGTGGAGTAGCAGGTCGTAAAATCAGAACAGTGTGTTCGTATCGTGTTTCTAAAGCTGTGATTACCATCGACAAATACTGACAATTATTAGCATATCGTAATTATTTTCATGTTTGGACACCCTATAAAATATAATACAATACAAACTAGTGGAGGTGGAACACCTATAAAACGAAACAGTAGACAAGATAGTCCGATAACATCAGACAATTATTACTACATGAGGTCGGGTTCGATTGATGGTGCTGTATCAAGTTAACGTGCGGACCGACTGACCTTTTCAGTATTGTACTTCTTGTATTACGATCAACAGCAGGGATCCTGCATTAAACTTCTATTCGACTTCAATCTCCAGTATCTGTCAGCCCTGTTTGACTCCGCACTTGCTGAGAATTTGACTTTAAGTGCCTTTTGACAGAAATTGCACGAGTATTCTAGTTCGAAACATTTATGTGTGATTACTGACACTTGACGAGTTGAAATTGAAATTGGATTCAAATGAAGAGACTGAGATAATTTTTTTTAGATTAAATCAAGGATGTCGTCTGCGTTTTAAGGAGAATTATCGTCTGCCACTGAGTGACAAGTTACGAGGATGAATATCTCAAGTGTGGTCCTGGCATTCATTCTGTTGATGTCCTTATATGGAGTCAACTGTCAACTGGATGAACTCTTTTATGATTTGCAGGAAGAACGAGGACCTGTTGTAGTGATTGCCGACCTTTCCACAGATTCGAATGTATCATCAGTGCTGGACTCCACCGAGATGCCCTTTCTGAAATTCCAGCTATATTCAGGACCAAGTAGAACGAACTTTCGCCTCAATAATTTAACGGGGTATCTATCGGCCGTGGAAAGAATTGATCGTGAAGCCATTTGCAGATTCCAGATTACATGTGTGATTCGGCTGAATGTAGGAATACAATCACTAAAACCAGGATCTTCTTTTTTCCATACCATCACCGTTTACATCAACATTGAGGACATCAATGACAACTCGCCATTATTTCCGGAAGTGACATCAAATTTAGCTATCATGGAGTCTGCTGCCATCGGTTCAACTTACATAATAGATGGCGCTACAGACCTGGATACAGGAGAGGGTAACTCTGTTCAGTCTTATTCCTTGGTACCTGAAAGCCCAGTTTTTGGAATCAAAACTCAGCGAAAATTGGATGGAAGTATAGAAGTGAGATTGGTTATAGTTGCTGAGCTTGATCGTGAAGGTGTCAGCCATTATGACGTAACTGTCATGGCGTATGATGGAGGGAATCCAAGAAAATCGGGGGAGATGACTCTGTCTATTAATGTTACAGATGTGAATGATAATTGGCCTCAATTTACCAATACTGTGTACAATGCTAGTGTGAATGAAACGACTGCTACCAACGTCGCCTTTACGACCGTTTCCGCGACGGATGCGGATGATGGCCCGAACGGTCAAATAAGTTATCGATTCAGTTCAAGACAAACTGACTTTGCTGCTGTTAGATATTTCGGAATCAATTCAGAAAACGGCGAGATCTATCCAACTATGTCCTTAAGTCCCCTTCAAGGCCAAACGAAAAGAATTGTGATTGAAGCAACCGATTCCGGTTCGGACATTAAAGTTTCTCAGTGTATCGTTCAAGTGACTGTATTGGACAATGCTAACAATCCACCAACCATAAGAATCAACCTTCTCAATGAAAATAACACTGTTGAGATTTTGGAATCAGCAAGTATTGGGTCTCTTGTAGCCCATTTCGTAACCAGCGACAAAGACTCAGGACAAAATGGCGTCGTTTCATGTTTCGTATCGAACTCTTCTGAATTCAGTGTCCGTCAAATCAAAATAAATCAATTCAAAGTTGTTCTCAGCCAAAAAGTAGACAGAGAAACTCAGTCATCACATCAGATGTCTCTAGTTTGCCAAGATGGTGGACAGCCACCATTACAAACGACAGTTGGCTTGAAAGTGATGCTTATCGACGTAAATGATAATTCTCCGGTTTTCGAAAATAACAAAATATATCTAAACGTTTCTGAAAACAATGAAAACGGTTTGAAATTGACAACTGTGCGAGCGACGGACGTAGACGTGGAAGAAAACGGGGCTGTAACATATCGTTTAGGACGAGTTTCACCAATGACTTCAACAATCTTTGTGAATCAGACGACAGGTGACGTCATAGTGTTGGGTTCGTTCGATTATGAATCGGAAAAGAACGTTAATATTACAGTTATTGCTGAGGACGGAGGCGTTCCACCCCTTTCTTCATCAGAGACCCTGTATTTATCGATAATTGATGAAAATGACAATTCTCCCTACTTCGACGAACCTGTTTATATCTTTAATATTAAGGAAAATTTAGCCTCGGGGCAATTCGTTGGTAAAGTGAAGGCAAAAGACGATGACAGTGGCGTTAATGGTCGTCTAAATTATATGCTTGAGCAAAATTCAAGTTTACCTTTTTCGTTTTCAAACGATGGAGATTTAACGACACTCAAATCTTTCGACCGAGAAGAAAAGGCCACATATAATTTTAAAGTAATTGCCTATGATTTGAGCGACTCGCCTAAATCGTCTAACGTTTTGGTTACTGTGTCCATATTGGATCAAAATGACAACATTCCAACCATAACGTACCCACGATTTTCGAACCATTCCGTACCCACGTCTTACCATACCGTACCCGGGACAGAGTTGCTGAAAGTGGAGGCTGTAGACGAAGATGATGGAGACAATGCTAGGATTCTGTACGAAATAAAATGTGATTCTCGTCCGAACATGTTTATCATCGACCAGAATTCAGGCTCAATATTCCTGAACAAACAATTGCGAGCGCGAGATGTTGGGAACGTCAGCGTCGTGGTGAAAGTGTCAGATAAAGGATTAGAACCTAAGTCGTCTGCAATCAGTTTTACAATAACTATCACGGACGGTAATCTTACCGCCCTGGCAAGTAGTCAAGGCGCTCAACAGAACATGTTGGTCGTAATTGCCCTTGTTAGTGTCACCTTTGTCGTAGCCGTAATCGTTTTAGCTACTGTTGTCTTCTTAAAACGCACCGATCAACGAAAACGGGCGTTAAATCGGACAAAATATGACGCTAAGGACATCAGTGAACCAGTTTTTAAGAAGGGCGGAGAGGTTAAGAGTGGCAAAGGAGAGTTACGTAAGAATGATGTAGAGCATCATGGAAAACCATTTCACGGTACTCAGCCCACAAATGAAGAGTTAATTGTCTTCAAGATGAAATTGGCTGAAAAATACCAAGTGGAGGGCGGTGACTCAAGTTTCTCAAAGGTTCGTCAATCGTTTTGTATCTTTTCTATGTGAATGGTCATTTTGATCACTTTCACCATCCTTTTGTCTACTTTCGCTTTATTAACTCTACTTTCCATTTGTCACGTGATTAAAAGCATTCTTCATCTTTTTAATCCCTTTGATCTATTGATACTATTTTTATCCCGATTACTTGAAATAATGGAAGCATTTTGGTGTAAAATTATTTTGTTTTTTATTTATATACAAAATACAGAAAACAATGGGATGTTACGTATCATTGAAAATGAGTGTTTTGGTCATCAGGTTTACGTGTCAATAGAGATATCTCTGTGACGTAATTTGAAATTGATCTATTATTTTAAGCGGTTTATCTCATCTTTTCAAATAAATTCTTCAATTATTTTGTTAGTAAAATGGTCAATGTTGAAATTCAATATACCTTTGTTGATTTCAAATTTCATGGTAGATTTAGTCAAAGTCTTTAATAAGTCATTACATTACATAATAATAAATGAACGCTTATTTGTTTCCATGCTACTGCTAACGCGCTTTTGTATTTCAAAGAAGAAAAAATTAATTATACGTCGTTTGACTCGTCGTGTAATTTCTGCGTTTGTAAAAGTTCAAACGTTTTCGATTTTAGTTACCTATCCGTACGAAGAGATTGATATATTTTAGTCAAATTTCTTAAAATTATGGTGGCAATAAAGTCAAACTTGTAATGTGCTGTATTTCTTCACACCATTGTTAAAAGTTTGATCAACTAAATTGAGAGAAAATATTTTAGTCATATGATATGAGAATTTACTTTCAATTTAAAAATACATATTGTCTTTTCTAGGAAACTGAAATAAGTGATGTTTTAAGTTCGGCATCAGGGGAAACAACTGGCTGCGATAGTGGACGTGGTGCTAGTGAATGCGAAGGTCAAGGTGAGTTTTTTGTAACCAATATTTTATTTACATACAAATGAAATGGGGCTCCTCTAGTTAAGGATTATCTTAGAAATCATCCACTAGGGTTCTCAGGCAGCAGTCCCGAGAAGTGGTGGTTCTACGCCTATGCATTCGCCTCGTTGTATAGAACTTAACACAAATTACATCAACAATTTTGGCAACTAACATTTTCATTCTGCACGACTTTGATGATCTGAAAGGTAGTGCCTGTCTGCAGACCAGTGCCATTCCTATACCGATTCTCTGTCACCTAGGCCAATGTCAATACGCCTTAATATCAATCCAGCAAATAAGAGAGGGTATCAAACATATGCTTATTATTATTTCTTTCTTTTGCAGACGATATACAAGGCAGTGTACCGAACAGTCCTCGAAAACAGTCGATGACGAATAAAGGATCAGTCAAGAAGCAACCATCTTACTATAGACTCGATCAAATCAAGTCCAATAACTCCACTGGTCCAAATGCTAGTCACAGTCAATCCAGACACAGTGTGAACCTTACGGACAGTTATAAAATGAAATCCAATAGTCACGGACGTTCAAGTAAAAAACAAGACACTCATTGTGATAAACTTAAATCAAATAACGAGAAAAATCGTGAGAAATTGCGAGACAGGAGTAAAAATTATGACAACCAAAAACAACATTTGAAAAGTGTTGAGGACAATTACCAATATTTAGAAAACAATAACACACAATTTGATCAACAACATAGTCAACAATTTCATCACGAAAATGAGTACGGATTAAACCGAGGACATAGTGGTCGATATCCGGGTAATTACCGACATTCTGTACCGTGTTCAAATGATTATATCAGTCCAAAATATATCGATATGAAACGAAACTCGGTACACACCAGTCCACGTGATATTCAAAAACTAAACGAAGAAATCTTAGAATTGTCGAATCAACGAAAAATGGGTTTAATGAATTCTTTTCGAAATAGTGTGATATATAATCGTGAAAAACGACTGGATACCGACGACTACAGTGTAGACACGCTGGATGATGGACAGTCAACGACTACATCCGGTAGTTACACAGTGGACACAGACCACTATACGGACGATATTTATCAAGATTCTCGATATGTCACACACTTAAATCATAATCCCGAAGATGTGTTTGTGTGATAAAAAAAAAATCGGAACAAGCAAGACAATTCCTTTTTGTGTGAGATTTAATTATAATGACTCAAAAAAAAAAGCTAAATTATGTGTGTAAATGATACGCTATGCGGAGTGTGTATTTAAACTGTGTAAATGTGTGATGTGTGGTTATTGACTTAAATACTGCTCTGCCTTTGAGACTTTCAAATTAAGCTTAGGTTAAATGCTCAGAATACATTTCTAGTGCGCTTTAAAATAGTGCGTATTATACTCGAGATTATGCGGTATATGAGTGAATGATATTATGTAATGTATTTCCGCGTATTTGGTGCTAATGAATGAACGTTTATAAAGCGAAAGCTACATGCAATATTATGCATTTTTCATGCAACAAAATTCATTTTAAAATTTGTCATTTTTTTTTTTTTTTATTTAAAGTAAGCCTTGCCTTGCATGACAAAATGTTTGCAATATTTGTTAAAAACGTTGTTATTTATATTGTTATTGTTTGTTTTCTAATTTTGTAAATATTTTGTTTTTATACTTTTATACAATAAGTAAATTAACTAATCTTTATTTTTTGATTTTTATTATTTTTCTCAAAAGTTGTTGGTTATCAGATTCAAATCCATTTATAACACATAGCAGAACACCACTGTTGGGAACTAGTAGCAACAATAAGGTTGCACGCTTGCATCAAGTCGTTGAAAAGCCTGCCGTTCTCAGAGAGCAACTGTCGCAAAGTCGACTTCAGCCCACAGATGCATAGTAAACCTACATAGAAAAGCAAAACTTCTCATACTCCAAAAATCGCAAGGTCTACCTATGCATCCGATATATCAGTTTTAATCCCCTTAAATTAAATATGTTCCTAAGACGTCGCTATAATCCTGGTTCAAGCAGATGTATATTATATGATATGTAATACATATTCCGTCTTCAGCGGGAAAACCATAGCCTCGATTACCCATGCCCCCTATAGGATCAACGTAACATGCTACCCAGTGGGATGCGATTTTTTTTATAATTGATGATATCGCTTATAAATAGATTACTAAGATAAAATCGAAACCTCATTAATTAACATCTATCAGTTCTGATCGACAGACAGTTCCCTTTCAAAGCTCGTAAATCACAGCATGTCCGCTTCCTTGGGTGCGTTCCCCAGATCCTTACCCCCTAATGACAGACCCCACCCCTAATCACTGGTCATTAGTGCCACCCTGTACCATATTGGCACAAACACAAAAACAACCAAACCATTGTTTAAATGTCACTGTTTTTCTTCAATTTTCCTGCTTTTTATCTACTAACATAACATTAGTAGCAGTTTTACAACCTTGGCCCTTTTTGTGGTCACCTGGATGTGCCCCTTATTTTATTTATGGCCCTCTTCAGTGTTCACTGCACAATGCAGCAGGGGGACGTGTCTTATTTACGACCTCTCGACCCTATACAATTATGGAGAGAGGATACGTCCTTTCACCCAGTGTTCAATACTAATTTTGAATCGGAAACTTGTTCATTATTCAAAATCGGCCCCATTTTATTTACGACCCCTGAACGTTCGATGTATAATAGTAAAGGGGTGTACTCTCATTTTGTTTATGACAGTTTTAAAAACACATTTACTTAGATGAAGACAGAGATTTTGGAGAGTTAACAAGGTTTATCACAAGATGTTACAAAGTGTCAAAACTATACATCCTACTTAATCCCGAATTATCTTCTCTTGTCTAGTTATTTACTAGCTATTGTTATAGTAGAGTTATAGATGAGAGAAGAAAAAAGGACCTTGTTGGTAGTCCGATATGTTGAAACTCATTGAAGATACCTATATATTGTTGCAAAATCATAGAATCGATTAAAACATTACGGATTCGCAAGTTAAAGAGATGTAAAATTAAACAGTTCATCGGAGAAAAATTTTACGTCCAACTTTTCTACCCCAAGTGGGCTAAAAAAGACGGGCAACACCATGCAGGGTACAATGAGGGAAATTTTGCCAGGACAGTGGCATTAGTCTGCTCTTTTTCCATTTCCAACTGTCGAGGGATCTTTAACATGCACAGTCTGTAGCACACGGGGCTTTTCCCATGTCAGCCTGCATCACTGACAAAGGGGAAACCGGGTTGAAAGTCACAGAGAAAATTGTTGTTCGGGCTAACTTACACTTCACTGAATCGAGCATCATTCGCCTCATTAAGTACCTAGTCAACCATTGAAAATAATATCCTCGACTTTTACAATAGGAAACGATGTCGACAAACATTCCGTT